AGGAAGAACACCAGCAAAACGCCAGTCGTAGAAAAGAAACTAACGAACATCATCACACGCGAGCAAGGGAAACGAACTACTAAAGCAAAAGAGAAAATGCAAGAGGAAGATCTGGACCAAGACAGCGATAGCGACCCAAACTGGCTAGATCTGGGCAGTGATCGAGTCAAAATGGTAACACCGGTGAGTTCTAGCAATCAATTGACACTTGTGGTGAACTCTGGGAAAGGAATTGCTAAAGCACTGATTACAAGTGAGCAGTCAAGCTCGAGCAAAGCGCAGACCAATGAAACAGTACATGCAAGCCCAACTAAGGAACAAAGAAATACAGAGCTCGATAACCAGAAGAAAACTTAGTAGAAAAAAATAGAACCAACTGTGGAGACGGGAAGATCATGGGCAGGGCTATTCCAGGAGAACAAATTGGCAGCAAAAGGTATGAATCTAACCTACATACCCTCAGTGATGAAAGATGGTGAAGTAGTGGTACAATTGATGGAAGAGGACATCGAAGACGAGAACCAAAAGTAGAACCGAGCAGTTATACTCTATGTGGTGGGGAATACACCATAATTTGGGGCTATTTAGAGATTCATAGCTAATCAATGGATTAATGTTCATAAACCTAAGGTACTCTTCCATAATGATGGGTATTTCATAGTACTGCTAAATAACAGTGAAGAGAGGGAGGATGTGATGCTGAATGGGCCGTATACAATTAATAGCAGGCTAATTATAATTAGACCGGTCGGAAAACTTTAATTTCAATGAAGAAGTGTTGAAAACCATTCCCCTATGGGTCAAGTTCCCAAAACTACCACTCAACTACTGGAGCAAACATGCCCTAAATAAAATTGGAAGTGGTTTGGAAAATCCATTGTATGCTGATGCTTGTACCATAATGGCTGAAAGAGTCTCATATGCTAGGGTCCTGATTGAAATGGATGTCACAAGGCCACTGCCAAAGAAGATTAAACTGTATGATTCTAGAGGCAAGGTGATTGAACAAATGGTTCAATTTGATTAGAAACCACCGTACTGCTGCCAATTAGGCCATTCATGTAGGGATCAAAAGAAGCAAAAACAGGAAGGAGTGATACAGAAAAGTATGGAAATAAAGCAGAAGCAGGAATGGAAAAAAGTCAGAACTCTTGAGCCTGCTGTAGATAAAATTGATGCTCAAGGTAGATTCCTTGATCAGTTGGAGGTAGTAGAAAATGTACAGCTAAATCAGCAGGAAGCTGAACCACGGTGGCAAATTGGTCGAGGAAAATCTGCTACAAAGAAGAATGCAGAAGTTACAAAGGAGAATGAAGTGGACATTGTCAATGCTTTCAAAGCACTAGTTGATACAGCACAGAAGATATTTCAACTATCTGAAGCCCAGGGTGTGAGGGAGAAGCAGAATAAGAAGGATAGGGAAGGAGTTCCACAACAAATATCCATATCATGATGAACATTATAGCATGGAATGTTAGGGGTTTGAATAAAGTATATAAGCAAAAAGAACTAAAAAAAATTGTAGAACAAATAAAGTGGTACTTGTGGCAATTATAGAACACAAAGTGAAGAGAAGCAATGCATATTCAATACTAAAGAAGACTTTTAATAACTGAAAATGGGTTGACAACTACAATAAAGCTCCAGGTGGTAGAATATAGGTAGCATGAGATCCAACTCAGGTGGATTATTTGATGACCAGAACTCATGAGCAATTTATAATGGGGAAGGTAACTATGATTCAGCATAGAACCAGTTTTAATTACTGTACAGTCTATGGTAAACACACAATTCAAGATAGAAAAAGCTTATGGGAGGAATTGAGGATGACAGTGCATGGAATAAACAATCCTTATCTCATAATGGGTGACTTCAATACTATCCTGACTAGTGAGGATAGGATTAATGGCAACCATGTGCAAGAGATTGAGATAAGGGATTTCAAGAATTTCCTAATAGATGCAGGATTAGATGAGCTGAAAACTGTGGGAAGAAAATACACATGGTCTAATAACCATGTCCATAGTAGGATTGATAGAATCCTTGCAAATGCAGAATGGATACAACAATGGCCTCACATGGAGGGAATCATTATGAATTCAGGTTTTTCTGATCATTGTCCTCTCAGTGTGGGGTTTGACATCACTAACCAAGCAGGCATGAGACCTTTCAAATTTCTCAACTGCTTGGCAAGCCTAAGTGAGTTTGATGCAACTGTAAAGCAAATATGGAGGAGCAACAAAAGAGGACCTGCCATGCTGTAGAGAAGACATTTAATTAGTCAAGCTACTACACCAACACTTCCAAATGTTCTCAGCAGCCTCAGGCCTAATTGCTAATCCAAACAAAAGCTGCATTTATTTTGGAGGAGTGAATAATCTGCTTCAACAGCAAATTATGGACATACTAGGCTACACAAAAGGTGAACTACCTTTCGTATATCTAGGTATTCCATTGAGCACTAAGAGGTTGTCTGCTATCCAATGTGAGCCCTTAATAGAGAGGATGTTAAGGAGGATTCAAAGTTGGACAATAAAGTTTATGTCATATGCAGGAAGAGCAGTACTAGTAAAGAGTGTGCTATTTGCTATACAAACATCCTGGGCTCAGATCTTCATTTTGTCCAAGAAAATTATCCACTTCATAGAAGCAATCTGTAAGAGGTTCTTATGGACAGGATATGCTGAACCAACAAAGAAGGCTTTGATAGCATGGGACAAATTGTGTCTACCAAAGGTAGCTGAGGGATTAAATTTTACCAATGTGGAGATATGGAATAAAGTATCCATATGTAAGCTACTATGGAGTATTTACACAAGAAAAAAAAAGTTGTGGGTATAATGGATACATACTTACTACATAAAGGGAAACACAATCTGGACTATAGAACCAAAGAATGCATCATGGGCCATACAAAATATATTCAAAGCAAGGAACTACTTTGCGAATGCAGGGTTCTCAGAAGAAGATGTCCAGAAGATGGAGAAATGCTATGTCAAACAAATATACAAAGCCATGCAAGGAGACTTTCCAAAGATGACATGCAGGAAATTAGTATGCAACAATTAGGGACAACCCAAGTGGATATTCATACTAGGGCTGGCAATTCAGCAAAGACTTGCTACTAAAGAAAGGCTAGCAAGATGGGGTATAATTGCAGAACAAACATGCTCATTATACAACAAAGAATATGAGACAGTGCATCACCTATTCTTTGACTGTGAGATATCAGGAGAGATATGGTACCGACTACTGGAATGGCAAGGTATACGAAGAATAAAGAAAGCTTGGCAGGAGGAAGTGACATGGCTAGAACAGGTGAGCAAAGGAAAGAGTGCAGGTGCAACAGTATGTAGGATGACCCTAGCAGCTAGGGGTGTCAATGGATATTAAATGGATATTAAAAAACTGACTAAACCGATCGAACTATACCGTACCGAACCAATTTTTAGGTTTCTTTTAATAAAACCATAGGTTTTTATATAAATCTATAACCGTACCTATAATTAGGATTGGTTTTTTATTTTATAAAAATAAATCGAAAAAATACCGAACCGTGCCGAATAAATTTACATGTTAAAAATATATTTATATATTAAGTTTAAGAATAATAATGTATTAAAGTTTTCCCTGGATCTTGGAATTGTGAAAACGGTTACAAGCAAACAAGTAATTAAACTCAAAATCTTAATTCCCAAACCTATAATGCTACTCCTATTGAAACTAAATTATTTCCAACATATTCACTAGCAAGACACAAGCTATTCTAGCGATTAGTAGCAAACTACAATGTATTGAATAATATGTTTCCTTTCCTATAATTTAGATTTATCTTTTTGAATATTTAATCTTCTATAGACTTTATTCTTGAGTTCCAGCATGGTTAATATATTTTCACTCGGTTAATATCTTTGTTTAGTTTCTTTTACGCTGTTGTAGAATAATTGATGGAATTATACTTTGACCATCTTTAATATTTTCTTAATTCATCACCCTTTAAAGAGTAAAAATATCTAAAGAGTTTGTTAAGTCCTATAAAAGTATGTATGATATTGCATTCTACTTCTATTAATAACTTTTACATGATATTTAAAACAAAATACCGAAAATTAACCGAACCGAATCGTACCGATACCGAAGATAAACCGATATGATTGGGACGGTTTCGAAAAGTTTAATTTTGGTTATGCATAATAGAATAACCGAAAAATTAGTACGGTATAAATTTTAGAAAATAACTGTCTGAACTGAACCATTTACACCCCTACTAGCAGCTGCAATCTACCACATTTGGCAAGAAAGGAACAATGTGATCTTTCAGAAGAAGAGGAGAACAAGCAATGCTATACTACGATTGATCATTCAGGAAATACATGTCAGGGCTGCCAATTTACCTCATTTCGATAGAGCAATGGCTAATTTGAATTGGTATCCTGAAGTAAACTAGAGCATGAAGTAGCAGTTAAGCAATAGAAGTAATGGTGATAGGTAACTCCTAGCTGGGCTTCATGTCCAGTAGGAGGTATGCTAGAGCTTTTTGTAGTAGATTGTAAGAATTGTAAATATTGTTACTTGGTAAATAAATGTAACGACCCGACTTGTCGTTTTTAGGATTAAAGCCTCGTTCAGCGACTTAAGGTCCCGAGCAACTTTGTAACATGTATTATGACTCGCGTGTGCGGTCGAGGTTAGTTTTTGGAAGGTTCGGAATTAAATTGAATGAGAAATTCTCATTTTTGAAGCTTAAATGGAAAGAGTTGACCAGAGAGTTGACTTTTGAGCAAACGACCCCAGAATGGAATTTTGATGATGTCAATAGCTTCGTATGGTGATTTCGGACTTAGGCGTATGTTCGAATTGAGATTTGGAAGTCCATAGGACAATTCGACGCATTTTGGCGAAAGATAAAAAATAGAAGATTTTTGGAAAGTTCGATCGAAGGTTGAATTTTTGATAACGAGGTCGGATTTCGATCCGGAAATTGGAAAAGCTCCATTACATCATTTATGACTTGTGTACAAAATTTAAAGTCATTCCGGGTTGATTTGATACGTTTCGGCGCAAAATATAAAAGTTGGAAGATTTGAAAACTCATAATTCGATTCGTAAATTCGGCGTTGTTTGACGCGGTTTAAAGCCTCGACTTAGTTCGTATTATATTTTGGGATATGTTGGTATATTTGGTTAAAGTCCCAAGGGTCTCGGGTGAATTCCGGATGGTTAACAGATTGATTTTGGACTTGAAGGAACTGCTGGAAATCTGCCACTGGTGTCATCGCACATGCGATGAAATTGATCGCAGATGCGCCCTCGCAAAAGCGAGGTCGAGTTTGTATTTTATATAATAATTTAGTGTTATTGTCACTTGAATTTTATGTGAATTCTGTGTGTTTGTTGATTTGATATTTTTCTTGGAATTAAATTCATGATGAAATCCTTATCTGTAAATATTTATTAAATAAGTTTAAATTGAGGAGTTAATATAATCATCAAGAATTTGTATTAATGAAGGCTTTGCCCTATACTGAGTATTTTTCACCTATGTTGATTGATTTGAGGTTTTATATACGTTGTGTGGAATCTTGTGCTATTTGTTCAGAAATTTATTGATTCTGCTACATATTTGGAATTTGGTTGTGGTGAGGGGCAAATTATGATATGAATTGTTGTATTGTGTATTGGTTTAAACACCCTCCTTGATGTTATTTATGCTTTCTACCTTGCTTGTTAATGATATACATGTGCTTGGTAAGGAAGAGTGTAAAAGCACGAAGGGTGATATCATGCCATTGAGAGTGTAAAAGCACGAAGGGTGATGCCGTGCCATTTGAGAGTGTAAAGCACGAAGGGTGATGTCATGCCATTTGAGAGTGTAAAAACACGAAGGGTGATGCCGTTCCATTTCATTTATATTATCAGGTGAGGATGAGAGTAAAAACACGAAGGGTGATGCCGTACCATTATTTTTATATTATCATATATTCATGGCACGAAGGGTGTTTCCGTGAAGGCGAGGACGAGAGACATACATTATATTGTGTTATCGTTTTGTTGTGTATACATTCATGCCTTTATCTTGAGATGTTATTGTGTACATATATTTTCTATGTGACTTGTAGTCGTTGTTGCTTACTGTGTGCCTCCCACTTTATTTCTTTTATTGTTATTGACTTTTCTCCCACCTAGTTGGTATTGTTATATGTATGCACGGTGAGAAAGAGATAAATGCACTTAGGGTGTTGCCGTACCAATTTATTTGGTTATATATATATTGGGTGAGAATGAGACAAGTGCGCGAAGGTATTGCCGTGCCATTTGATGTGATATGTTGAATATATTTCTCACACCAGGGAAATTAAATGAGGTATCACATGGTAACTTTTATTTTTAAAAATTATATTTGCAAGATATTTACTTGAAAGAATTGTATTTGCAAGATATTTACTTGAAAGAATTGTATTTGAAAGATATTTACTTGAAAGAATTATATTTGAAAGATATTTACTTGAAAGAATTATATTCGAAAGATATTTATTTGAAAGAATTATAATGGAAAGATATTTATTTGAAGGAAGTATATTCGAAATATATTTATTGGAAAGGATTATATTCTATAGACTTTTATTGAAAAAATTATAGATAAAAGATGTATATTGTGAAGGACTTGATTAATTGGTTGTACGTGTGTTTATTATTCGTTTGAGCAATAATTATGGTGTTCCTGTTGCCTTGCTATTTAAATCACTAGTTGATTGGTGTTGCTATCACTGCTATTTATTTTTTTATTATTTTTGTATGCTATATTGCACAAGTTATTTGACTAGTGAGTGTCTTGACTGTACCTCGTCACTACTCCACTGAGGTTAGTCTTGATACTTACTGGGTACCGACTGTGGTGTACTCATACTACACTTCTGCACATTTTTGTGTAGAGCCAAGTATTGAATTTTGACAGAGATTAGAGTATGATCGCAAGGATTCAAGGTAGGATTGCTTGGTCGCCGCAGTCCCTTGGAGTCTTTTCATTTTATTGTACTAATAATTATTATTCAAACAATATAGATTATTCGATCCTTGAGATCATTTCATGTATGCAGTTAAAGCTCGTGACTCAGTATTACCAGTCTTGGGAGTTTTTTGTAATTATTTCCGTTGTTGGTTTACAACACCTGTATTGAATTCAAAAAAAAAAAGCTTGAATTATGATTATAATCGGCTTACTTAGTCTGAGAGACTAATTGCCATCACGACGCATATGGTGGGATTTTGGGTCGTGACAAGTTGGTATCAGAGCTCTAGGTTCATAGGTTTTACGAGTCACGAACGAGTCTAGTAAAATCTTGCAGATCAGTACAGAGACGTCTGTACTTATCTTCGAGAGGCTACAGAACTGTTAGGAAATTTTCACTTCTTTCAGTCGTGTCGTGCGAAATTTGTTGATTTTGGAATTTGAGCCTTTGTATCTCTATTCTCTCACAAATGGTGAGGACACGTGCTACCGAGTCAGCTTGGACTCATATAGGAAAAGAAACAAATCAATTTATTGGCATTATCTTTTTCATACTATGAATTTAAATGATATACTAATGTGTATAAAAAGAATGTAATGACCCAAACATGTGTGATTATTGTGTACACGACACCTGTCCTTTTCCCCTTCCATCAGATGATAAAAATCAACATTTATGACAAAAGTTTTATTTTTATATTCCTCACAAGTATGTATAAAATATTAAATGTTTTCCTATGAACAAATTTAGAGCAATCTCAATATTTTACCTTTCAATTCTCGTTCCCTCATTTCCCCTTGTGTTCCGTGTCAGTTTGATTTGCTAATTTCAGCAGCTAGCCATTTGAATAAGTTTTGGACTATAAAAATATATATTATAATTTGTGGCTAGCGGCTGATATAAGTTTCGAGCGGGAATGATTTTCCCTCTTTTTTTATGCCTCACTAATCATGAAATAAAGATGGAGTAGGGTGTCTGCATCCGTACTGATAAACAGTGAGCGCAGTATTTTAAATACTGTATTTATAACCTGCAGTAATGAAGATTGCAATGTCAGTACACCAACTTGCCAAGGTACTTTGATCAAACACTTTGCCCTATAGAATGCAACAACTGTTTTTCATGTTTCGTTTTCATGCACAGAGCTCTCTCGACCTAAAGAAGGGAATTCTCATGTTGTTTAGTGCCTCGCACTTTAGCTAAAAGTAGAATCCTTCCCTCAATTGTTTCCTCACAAGGTCCCATCGCCCATCTCTCTCTTGTCTTGACTGCTTTGGCCCAACGTTACGTTGTTTCACCTATTTTTATACTTACAATTATTAACTCCAACAACATGGAAATATCTTTATTTGACAAAACTCACGACTTGTTTTTTTCGGCCTG